ATAGCAGGTATACCCCATCTTGTGAATCTTGACTATCATACCTATGTTGTATTCCTAAATTACTCTAATTTGGAACACATCAGAAACCCATGTCTACAGCCATAAGAGTCACAATGTATGTCACCTCACCCTCCTATTTGACTCACTTTACCAGTACAGAAAAAGTACATGAAGGTTGAATTAGCAAACTCAGTAATGGGGCGAGTTTAGCTTGCAGATTTTCTCCAAGTCCATGCTCAGCTCTACTTATTAAGGAAAAAAGTGAAGAAAACATAGCTGATTGTAGTTATCATTGAGTTTTGGGAAGTCCAAGGGACTCTGAGGCTGAAATAGAATTTCACTAAGACAGTGAGATTAATAGTTTGTCAAAATATCTTTTGATCTTCTTTTTAGAAGACCGAGATCAATCATTAGGTATGACTTTCAGGAGTCAAAGTAGGACTCTAGAATCACAACAGACAGGTAGGACTGGGAAGGAATCTAATGTAGTTTAATTATAAGCAACAGGAAAGAGCCTATACAAAAGCCACTCCAGGAAAGTTTTTGGAGACCTTGCTAAGATTTTCTTTGTAAAACCTAAACTTGGAAGTGCAAAGCTTGCTCACCCCAGTTATGAGTATCTGGAAGCTAAGGATGATTTAAAAATAGAATTGTGAGGAGAGCATACAGATCTTATCTTTAAGGCCATACCATCTGGAAAAAAGAGACACCATGCAAAGACAGACAACAAAGTAAAATACTCTTTCAAAAGTTTAACTTTGCTAATTTTAAAGTTCTGCTTCCTCCATGGAATGTGTGTCCCAAGACTACAGAGCAACAGTGGGGATGTGGAACACTGAAATGGTCTCTCCCCCAATTTTTCCATTGTAGATCTAAGGGAGCAATTCTCTATCTTCTTTAAAGACTGCTCACTAATGTTGCAATGATAGTTTCAATAAGTGTATGGAGAAAACATGAAATATTAGTAGGTGTCTGTGAATCTGTGACATTTCTATATGCTCAGTTCTTCTCCTGGTGCTGTGCTAAAGACCTGAGTCAGCTTTCTAAGGACCAGTGTATCCAAATGACTCACTTGGTCTGATCTACCTCCCACCTCCTGCTAACCACAATCACAATGCCTTTATTTCTGTGGAGGAAGAATCAAGAGTCCTTAGGCCAAGAAGCTGAATCTGTTAACATGAAAACTATGGTCTACTCCTTTAATTCTAAGGAAAAGGTACTCTGAGAAAAATCTCCTTTTTACTATAACTTACTTTCTCCCTTGCTTTTGCTGGATGGCATCTTCTAGAGACAGTGATGCTTCCCTTAGAACTGCTGAACAGCCTCCAAAATACAAGATAAGCCTTCTGATAACTGTTCTCATGCTAAGATAACTTTCACTCTCCCAAAAATGACTAGAAGACAGCATCTTTTAATGTTGGGGATGGAGAGGACAGCATCAGCTTCGTAAAAGCCAGGTATTTATTTGTTTTGACCTTAAAGCTTGACACAAGCAAGCAGCTCCATGTGAAACCTCTCCCCACTTGGACCAGCCCAAGTCTCAGCTTCTCCTTTATAGAGTTATCACTTAAAATACAGCACTCATATGGAGATTGAGGCATTTTGTACTACTGCTCCTATTTGTTGTATGGTTTGGGACAAGGTACTAATTATCTGTGGACCAGTTTTATCAGCCATAAAATGAGTGGTAGAACTAGAATTAAGCCAAAGCTGAAAAATATCACCAGGTATTAACACAATTTCCCAAATATATTAATGACTTTTGATACCACCTCACATGAGGACAAGATCCCACTGATAATTCCTCACTGTGTGTCCTTATAACTCTTCCAGCATAAGATGCCATGGCTGGAGAACTGTAGCTGTACCCACATATTTATGAAATGTTCACTTCTCTTATGGAATCTCCTCCTCTATATTAGAAAAATATAAGCAATATACATAAAAGGTCTGGGTGGGGGATAGACTGAATAGACTGTGCTTCAAGTAAGTTTTGAATACAATTGCCATCTAGCTTTTCAAAATTCTTCTTTAAGTGAATAAATGTGCAGGGCAACTCTCCATTACCTTGATCAGCATCTAATACCAACCTGACACTTGGAATTAAATTAGAGAAACAAAATTGGATACTTTGAGACTTGAGAGCTCATTATGCCCCTAGAGCTGAGTGGATTAAACTCCTCCCTTATCTGTTGAAATCTAACTAGGTATAAACTCTCCATTACTGAGGAATAGAGGTGTGTCTGCAGAGGTGGAGGCTTCCCTTGATGTTCTTGGACAAGGAAACCTAAGCCCCTTTTCTGACACACGTGGTTGCAATAGAAACCATTCTTCAGCTGCCAGTCTGGTTTTAATCTGTTGTTTCTAGCAAGAGAGGATTTGCAGGGAATGTTAAGAAGAGAGATAAATTACCAGAACTTACTATAAAATAAGAGTGCTGATGAGATATCAAATTTTAAACAAGCCATAAGAATTGTAAGCATGAACACATGTAAACACACATAGTGAATGCTATAAGTTTAGGATTAGGGAAGATTTTTTTTAATCTCAAATATATTTAAAGGTCGCTTTTAATATAATATTTAGATCTCATTTTACTAAAGTTCTTCAGATGATAGCAGAGGTAAAATGCCATTATTAAACACAGTGGTCTGTCATTTAAACAACACAGATGGAGAATGAGGCTACTTCATTGGTGAATTTTCTATAGAACTAAATTTACCACTGTATAATATAAACTTTAAACTACCAACCATTTTGTATAGAAACATTTCAAAAATGTATTATAGATTTTCTTTAATGATACATCATTAACATATAATCTTTTTCTGAAGATTTATGGTTACTATTATGAAAAACCTTGATTTAAATATGCTAAATACCCACATACTGCCTCTCTTAGAAGATGAGTAGAAGATGGTGGCTTTTGGTTATTTCCTCCCAATACAAGGATATGACTGTGAAAAATGCAAAATGCGATAAAGCCACTTCATTTTTCACAGGTCCTGGTCTTCTAGTCTTCTTTGCTGTTATTTCTTCTGACTAAAAGCATGTCAATCTTTGACCATACGTTGTGTAATTTTTTAAATCAAATTAAGATGTAAAACATTGCCTACTCTGTGCAAGACACTACGAGGTGCTAGGGAAAATGGTAAGAATTATAAAAACTTGTGGTCCAAGAAACAACCCAGCAGAGTAGCACTCAAGTCACTAGGTCATCACCATGGTGTGAAAAAAACATGACTTATTTCTACTAATGTCCTAAAGTTTGGAAATAATTTTAAAAATCACGGTAGGAGTGAAAAGATTTTGTGTTGTGATCAACCTTCTTAAGTGAGAATGTATCTTGGAAGTATCTTTCATTAAAACATTGCCAGTCATATGAGCCTTGGCAGAAGACAGAGAAGTACTGTTTGAGGAAATGAAGTAGGGACCCCTTTGTGGGTGCATCAGTTTCATTGTAGGTTTTATCTTGCAATCTGGATGGCTGAGACTGTCAGAGGCTAATCCTGCTAATTCCTAGGGCCATATAACCTAATTAATAATATATCTACAAAAACTATATTATAATTCTTCACCCTCTGTGAGTACTGAACATTTAGGGCCTTTATAAAACCTAACTTTACAATGGATATTACTTCCCCTGGCTTCAGGAATACCATATTCTCTCGTATTGCTTGGCTACCTTATTCCCATCATCTGACCACTTTTATTCCACAAACCCTGTCTGGTGGTGCAAAAGGTTTCCCTGAGTTCCACTACCATGCTTGAAGTTCAAACCTCTCGCCTGAGCTCTAAACTGATATCTTCTAATGGACATCGCGTTTGGAAGTAATACCAGCACCTCACATTTAACAGAGAAAACCAAAACCAAACCGATCCGTTTTGTTGAAGAATGAAACTAATTTCCTTACCTTCCCTCCTTTATACCTGTAATTCCATCCCTGCTTTCTTCTATTTTCACCACATTATTTTTATTGTATGGTTTTGTTTTACCCTGAAGGTTTCAGTTCCTTAATAGCATAGGCATCTCTTGCACAACTTATCTCCTGTCTCTCCTTGGCAACAGCTAATATGTGCACACACAAAGGCACTGTGACCAATCTACTCCAGTTATATGTTTAACTACATAGGTGCACAAAAGGAGAATCGTATTAATGCTTCTCATAATTTAACATAAATCAATTATTTCCACCAAGTGCCATCACGTTCTTCCTGGCCCAGGGTGAAGACACACAGTTCTAACCACCGTCCTCTTCAAATCGGTACTTGTTTCTATAACTCAACGGTACGCATCGTATTTTAATCTGCTGCCAATTAGGCTGTAACCTTCTTCTTTTTTAATGTTCTTGACTGGTTTTATTTATTTATTCACTGATTTTTGTTCTGCCATGCTGGACATTATATCCCAGGCCTCTTGCATGCTGGGCAAGTATGCTACCATTGAGCTACATCTTTGTATCTTCAGTTCCTCCGAATGGCACTGTACTAGGTAAAGTTTGCAGACAGTTGAATAGGCCACACAGGTCTCAAAAAGCCTCTATTGCCATGGCGCAGTGGCTCATGTCTGTAATCCCGGCTACTCCAGAGGTGGTGACTGGAAAAGAAGTTAGAGACCCCATCTCAAAAACAACAAGCTGGGCATGGTGGCGGTTCCAGGGCAAAAACGGAAACCCTATCTAAAAATTAACGGAAAGTCTGGGGGCGTGTCTCATACCCTACCTACCTAGCATGCAGCGAGGGCCTGAGTTCAAATCCCTACCACTAAAAATAAGTTACTTCTGTTCTCCATTCCCAAAAACTTCTAAAAAGCTGCCCCTGGATGGTCTAAAGCGCTACAACTGGTACCCCAAGGGGGTTCCCCGCGAAGGCGGCCCGCATCAACAAAACAAGGAAAACAGAAACCTAACCGCACCTCCTTCCAGTCCCCACCTGCTCGGCAAAGCCCGACTCCTAGAAGCGACCAGTAGTCCAGCCCAAGGGTACGCGCATGCGCAGCCAGCAAACGGCGCGGCGGGGATGAGACTGGCTCTCCGAGAATACGTCATGCAGGAAAGGACGGCTCTGCCCTTCTCAAGATGGCGCTGCAATCAGCGCGGAAGGTGCGTGGGTGCTGTAGCTTCATCCGGGCACTTCACAAAGGACCTGAAGCTGCTCCCGTTCCCCAGGTAACCGAAGCCAGCCCTTCTCCCGTCGGCCTCCCATCCGGGGAGCTCCTGATCCCCTCCCTCTCCCTCCATTTATTCCCCTCTCCTTCCTTCCTTGCGAGAGTGCCGAGCAGTTTTTCTAGTAAGGTCTACTCGCTTACTCCTGCCCGCCTACTCGGAGCGTGATGACGTTACAAAGATGCGTGATGACGTAAGGTTTCCCAGGTGAAAGGAGCGCGCTGGTTGACGTGGCAGCCGTCTGTCTCGCGGTGAGCCAGGCTCCTCCACTGTTGCTGGGCAACAAGGGAAGCCAACTCGTGTGTGTCATAACCAGAGACCGAGTACGTGTCTTTGGGACTACCCTTCTACACATGGTCCCGTACTGTTTTACCCTCCTTTCCCTAAGGGCAAGCCAGGGGTCTAGCAGAGAAATTAGGGGGGTGTCTCATTAGAATCGGGCGGTTTATGTGGGTGCCACCGTCCTTCCTAGCTGGCAGTGTGGTACTTGAGCAACTGGCGATGCCCCTTCCAGTCTGGTGCCTCCTCTTTGACTCTTAGGCATCCGGTATCTTGCAGGTTGTGTGAAAGGACAGCAAGCTGCCAAAATCGTAGGGCTGTCCTTCGCCCGACAGCACTGCCGTTACCATTACTGGCCTGCGAGAGTATGATGCAGCCTTCAGCCCTCCTGCAAAAGGGGCCGGGTGTTATGCTTTTATGCTTTCACTCATTCAGACGTTCACTAAGTCTTCCAAGTGCAATCTCAGAAGGAAGCACTTTGACAGGAGTGATCTACGGAAATGTATTCTGAGAACCAGAGGAAAATTTGAAATTCCATGACTGTTAGATAATTAACTGACACTTTGCATATTCGTTGCCATTGATGCATACGTGTGACATGAGGTTGTCGTATTGTAACTGGTGTTACGAAGAGCACTAGACTGGAAGTTATGAAAGGGGTCCAGGGCTTTTTCTGCCACCTGCTAATTGTGTTACACAACAAGTCACAATCTCTCTGGATTTATTTTCTTTAGCAAATCGAGTGGAGGATGAGTTTGACACATTAATGAACTTTCAAGTTTTGGAAAATCTGTGGTTCCATGATTATGAAAGCAAAGTAGCCAGTAAGAGTAAATGAAAGCCAAGATTTAAGTTCAACTTATTTTTCGAATCATCCTGTAAATTATTTAATTTTCTGAATTTCTGATTTCTTCATAAATGTAAGCCTCACAAGATTCTAATAAGAATAAAGGACATAATACACCAGAAAGCTCTTGGACAACAGACAACTGTCCAAATGGTATTTAAAATTGTAGGAAACAATATTAGTAAGAATTGACTCCAACTTAGATCATCAAATACTCTTTTATTTGTGGGTTGGATTCTTCAGAGCCAGAATTGATTATTTGTAGCATAGCATATTAAAGTATATGCTATCAAAATCACTAAGCCTCAGACACAAACGTCCTTTCTTTCCAAACTAAAGAGTTGATGTCATGAGACTAGAGAAAGAAAGAAAGAAGAAACCAACCTAGAGCCCACTAATGATTGCCCAGGGAATGTTAGGACACTAAATAATTATAAATGCTAAAGAAAAATTTCTAAACCTTGAGTATTGTTTCAGCAGCATTTTTAAATAGGATTCTGCTTAAACTTAATCTACTGTTAATCTAGATTGTTTCAAGATGTAGAATTTGCAGGACATATTAGTATCTCCAAAAAAGATTTTGAAAATTATATTCATAGTATGATTGCAGTATTATATTTATATATAAGTATAGATAGAAAAAAGACTGAAAGTAATTTAAGTTTTTTAAACATTATTTTTCACATGTTTTAAATTGAAGGTACATCACTTTTATAACCAGAAAAAAATTGAAAGCATAAATCTCCATACAAATCTGTAGTCATTGATACTGTTTGTGGTATTTAGGTTTCTGAGAGGGATACTTGTCCTATATTGCCATTATTAAAATGGCCTTAGAAAAGGACTACTAAAAATTTATGGCCACTTTTCCTGTATCTTCTTTTCTCTTGAAAAGCTTCCTTTGAAGTCAAAGGGATTTTGTGAACAGATGCAGAAATATGTGAAGGAAGAACTGGATTCTTAAGCCAGATGCATTGGACATTTTTATGATATCTCATAACCTTTGTAGAAAACAAATAATAGAAAGAAATGTATATTTATTATATGGATGATTTTATCACAACCAAGAAATAGGTAAGTTATGCTTTACTGGTTTTGGTTGTCACTTGCCCCTTGAGGTGGAAGAAATGGATGAGCCATGTCAGTGCTTTGTTGTTTAGAAATGTGACTGATTAGTGTACTGTGAGTCCTAAGCTGTTTTAATGTTTGAGGATTTTTTTAAAAAAGCAATATCGTGGGTAGGAGGATTGGCACTGGCAATCATTACTTATCCCAAATGCAGGTTTTTGCTCCTCAAGGTTAGATGTAGACTTAAGTTCAAAATAGGGAGAAAGGGCTAGGGGTGTAGCCCAGTGGTAGAACACTTGCATAGCATGTGAGAGGCCCTGGGTTGTGGTGGCGGAGAGAGCAGAACACCCCACCATACTCATTGTGGGATGTCTCCAATTCACATGAAAATGGTTTATTTTGTCAGGTGTCATTTGACAGAAAACTGTTGAAATCTGACGAGATAAGAGTAGTCAGTCAGAGAAATGAAAGTCTGATGTGTATATGTTTAAATGCTGATGGTATTAAGTAAATTTAAGCCTGTCATCATTGATCAAACACAGCATTCATGCTTCCTAAGGGCTAATTCATGATTATACTGGATGAAGAGTGAAATATTGTTGGTTAGTAGACTTTTGCAGGAATATTTAGGAAGAACATTTATTATCATTCAGTTAAGTATAGAATGTCCACATTATAATGCAGTTGAACAACATGCTTTGCTATCAGCCATTCTTAGCCTAGGTTTGACCAATGTTCACATACTACTTCTGCTGTTAGTGATTGCTAAGTACAGCCGTTTGATGAAAGAATCATGTTTATAAAAAAAGATACTGTATTAATTTTCTGATCTTGTATTTTGTTTTTAGTATAAGACTTTTAAAATTAAAAACTATTTTTATTTTAAAATAATTTCAGATTTATAAAGTTGCACAGTTAAGCCCAGGAATTCATTATACCCTTTGCCAAGCTTTGTCTTGCATAGCTGTAACAGAATTATCAAAACCAAAAAATCAGGGCTGGAAATGTAACTCAGTGCTCGAGCCCTTGCCTAGCGTGTGTGAGGCCCTGGGTTCAATCCCTAGCACTTCAATAAACAAACAAGTGAATAAACATTTGTACATTTCTATCAATTTAGCTAAAGATATAATTCAAATTTCACCCATTTTGCACTAGTCATTTTCCTGGTCCAGGACCAAATCCAGGATCCCACATGGCATTTAGTTTCTATGTGTTTGCCAATCTTAGTCATTCTCAGTTTTTCATGACCTTGGCACTTTTAAATAATACTGGTCACTTATTGTGTAAAATGTCTCTCAATTGATTAGACTGAGGTTATGATTTCTGGCAAGAATATTCAGAAGAGATATCATTCATTACAAGGTGTTAAGGCAGGATTAGCACCTGTTCTAAACATTTGCACCTATTTCAAACATGAGCTTTAGTTGGGTAATTTGCCCAACATCACACAGTTGATTATTGGTAGAATTAAGATGGTAAAATTTTCTGTAGGCATTTCAGTTTGTATTTTGCAGTTAGTGTTTGTTGCCATAGGTTTCTGTGACCCTTAGAACATTAAATTGGGGGTAGTGTTCCTAGGGACTCTCCATTAGCTCTTCCCTGCCAGTGTTGTCCATGTCATATGCCACATGAGCCATCAGCCTGGGAAGCTTTCAGTAGCTGCGACAGCCTGCTGGGAATTCTGCTAGTTGATAACTGTATGGGTTTGATCAGGCTACTGCATCTCTGTGCTTTTCTTCAGTGGTACAGGAGGGTGTTGTGAGAACAGTTCTGTTTAATCTCAGTTGGTGAGTCCATTTGTTTGAATTGCTCTTTAGGTTGGATGCTCATGTGAACTGTTTCAGTTCTTTGAAAAATATCTCTAGACAGCTAATTAAAACTATTGATGATATCTGCTGAAAAATATACAGAAGGAACAGCAAGTAGATAATTGCTGAGGGTTTGTACTAACAACTTTTAGAGCAGTCACAGCCCAAAAGTGCGGACTGAGCTGCTGACTCCCAAATTCTTTGTCAATGTATCTCTTTTGAATAATTACAAGTTATTCATACTACAGTTTGTATGACTGGTATATACTGTATAGACAGTTCTGTCTGTTATATACAATATATAATATTACATATACATTTTTATATCTATAATATATACATATACATACATGTATATATATATATAGCCATCCTTATATCTTTCCAAAAAGGAACTGACATTTAACTAATGCCTGCTGTGGGGATTAAAGTGTGCTTGTGCATACTTTACCCTACTTCTTCCAACAGTCTTATAAATACTGTTCTACCCATTTTAAAAGAGGAAACTAAGATTCAGATTAGGAAATTTTCCCAAGGCACAGAGCCAGTAAAGATCAGTGCCAAGGTTCAAACCCAGCAATGCCCTTGCTTTTCCTACTTCATCAGTACAAATGAAGCCTTACATGAAGCCCTGTTAGATAAGACAGATGAAAGCAGCACTTTTATGATTGAAGAAATAGAGGAGGGTCAACAGCCCTTCCTATTTTATCTCCCTCTCCCCAACTCTCCTGCCACTCACACAATCCAGGAGCCTCTGAGGCAGTGCCACACAATTTTGGATTTCTTAAGATTGAGTTTGAAAAATGCTGCAGCTTCCTTAAACATTCCAAGTGAGTTTGTGGATAAGGACTACATATGATGAATGGACTATTTTGAAGGAACTTCCCTGTAAATGAGTGGTTTTGGAGTATTCATTCACCTTTACATGCATGCAATTTATAATTAAAATATAATATGTTCTTTTTATTTCAAGCTACATGAGCACATGAAGTAATAGCAGT